ATCTTTGCTTTGCTAAACCTCGAATGCTTCCCGCTCCCAGAAATGGGCGGTATTTAAAGAAATAGCTAGAAGTGGAAGTTAAACTTCCTAAAAAGCCAAAAGAATCCAGCTTAAGGAGCGAAATGAACTGAGTTAACAAACCCCTTAAATTTAAGCATAATTAAATACTAACGGCGACCGTACAGTAACTAAAAACATGTGTTGACATCAAAGGTCGCCGACAGCTTTTTTTCCAAGAAAAGGAGTGTCTGAGGAATGTGCAAGGAGCTTCCTGGGGAAAATGTCCTCATTGCGCTAACGCGTTAAGGGGCGAGAAGAAAAAAGATGAAGACAATAAAAACTGAATCAAAAATTATAAATTAAGCCGAAAAATTAGTATTTTGATTAAATAAAACGGGATATTTAGAAATTAGGCTGTGACTTAATGTCACAGAAGTAGAACATGCTCTACTATGGTTCAAGGACTTGGATGATCGTTTACACGATCCAAGCTCAAAGCAAAACAGTTTCCATCAATCTTCGTCCAAGTACTTGGATCGTCTAAACAGGCCTATAAACTCATGTAAGTATGATTTTATAATGTTGAATATGAACAATGCGCAGTTTTTTCATCAGACTAATCAGTGACATTCAAGAACTTGGATAGTAATATCCAATCTCTTGAAGAGAGAAATTCCTCCAATTTCTCGGATTCAAGAACTTGGACCTTGTAAACAGGCCTTAAGACTATTTATTTGCAGACTTAAAACAAGCCTATTTATTTGCAGTTGATGGCTGCGGCGAGCTTCTTCCAACTGGATGGACTTCTTCGATTCTGTGAATCACGAAGTTCTAAATTGGTAGATCTGGACAACGTCGTCTCCATGTACATCCACGCCAAAGTGTACAACGCGGTCTACCTTTTGGAATACTGCCAGGGTTTTCTTCTGCAGAACATGGTGGCCCTCCTCACCTACGACGACAGCGTCAGGAAACTGATATTCGGGAAGAAACTGCACAACCACGACGTACTCAGCGGACTTCTCCTGACGCTGCAGAACAGGATTAGAGAAAAAACACCGGGAAACAAACCGAGTGGTAAGAGTTGAAGAATTGCAGGTTTTTCTTAGAACATTGAGGTGTGCGTGCCATGGATTGAAAAAATGCGATAGTGAATTTGTATAGTATGAAAATTTCTGATTTCTTTTTTTTTAAATGCTATGTTTGTGTATATATTGATGTTAGTCATTTTATTGACGAATCCCATGTGTGAAACCTCAGTAGGAAATTAATATTTATACCTAAAAAAAAAAAATCAAGTAAAATAGCTATTTTCATAATGCATGAATTTTTGGCCTTAAACAAAACTTTTTCTATAGGCTTTGCTATTGAAGATGTGATTTATTTGCCAATCTTTTCAAAAGAATATTAAAAAAAAAAAAAAAATTTCAAAATTGTGGTTATTGATTTCGAGGACTCATTTAATAACTTTTTGAAAATATGTGAATTACATATTCATGTTTCGAAGCAAACTCCTTTTGTCATAATTCATTTCTGAGCCGCGATGGCTGAGAGGATAGAGCGCTTGCCTTCCAATGAGGTGAACTGGGTTCCGCATCCGGCTTGCACCAACCATAGTGCTGATGTGAAATATCCTCAGTGGTAGACGGGTCAAGGGTTCGAGTCCCCTCGCCGTCAGGCTAACCATGGGAGGTTCTAGTGGTCTTCCACTCCATGTAACGCAAATGCGTGTTAGTCCCATCGAAAGTCCACCACGGCAGAAAATTTCTCCTAGTACTTGATCCAGGAGTTTCCTTGTCTTCTGGATTGGGTTCAAAATTACAAGGCTACGGAGTTGAACATTAGTTGTCGTAAATCCAAAAACTAGGTTGGCTGTTCAACGACGGTTATAAAATAAAATAATTCATTTCTGTATTCCACTTTTCAAGCCTGACATTATTAAAGTCGTCAACGTAGTTTAGCAAATTGTTTCAGATGCAATAAGTCTGCGAAAGTACGGTGAATGTTTTATCTACCCACTATAAAAAATTGCTAAAGAAAGATAAGGTTTAAAGATGAAGTCATTTTCACAGAATATAGAATTGCATTTTTGCAGGTTGAGGTTACTTCGAAACTTATTATTAAGTTATTTTCAAAATATTTTCAGCAGTTATGAATAAGTCCTGGAAATTTACCACCGCATGAGATAAGTGTGAAATCTTTCAACTATAAGAACCCAGGTTCAAATCCCACATTAGTCAGAAATTTTTCTTTGTGTTCGCATCTATTCCATAAAGTAATTTTCACAATGTCATTTGAATTTTATGTTCGTAACGAAAAGATAATTGGTATGCAGGGTGTTCTGTTAATGCCGCTATTAATGTATATTTTTAGAATCCTTGTCAAAAATAAAGGTAAAAAAGATTCATGTTTAAAATTTAATTGAAGAAGAATCAAAAATTGTATCGAAATCTTACAGATCACTATTAAGGAAAGCAGTTACAAAACTTCCGGTTAGAACTTGAAGATGTTTTTAATAGTCAACTACCAACTCCTCTATCTCCTTTGGAAATCAGGCAAATTTTGTTGTTTTACACAACAGTATTTCTCAAAAGTGATTTAACAGATTAAATTAAGATTTTGTTTTCCATGTTTAGAGATAATTTAAAATCAATATTTCGTATTTATTTTTGAAATTTTCTGTTTGATATGGATTTTGAATAATCTTTTCTAACATCAACATATTTTCCTGCGCAGCAGATAATTTTAAATGACATTCACATAGATAAAATCAGCGCATCAACTTTATAAATATTGTAACCTCTCCTCTATAAATTTATTTGGAGCAAACTAAGCTAATACTCTTACAGCTTAAAAATAAATTATAAATGAATACCTCGTCTTCAAATCTATAGAAAAAGTTTTGATCATTGGGTTACTTTTGATGCCATTTTGTTATAAGGCAAACTTTCACCTAGAAATAACTGTCTTTTGTTCAAACTTTTGATACCATTTTTTTTTATATTTCAAAAAGTTATTCACCTATATCTTAAGAGATTTTCTAAATTTAAAATCAGAATACAAAACTACATGCTTACCATTTTAACACCATTGAAATTAGTTTAAGAAACGCAAATAGAAAATGCTGTTGAACTAATTGCCTGGTTTTTTAATCCTAATAAATCTTTTTTTAAAGTTAAAGGTCCTATATCGCAATAGTAACCATAGTTCGTTCACCAGGAGTTGGCACTTGACTCCACCTCCTCAGACGAAGAGTTTATTTCAGAACTGGAGTAGGAGGAGAAACGTCTCCGCGCTTGAAATTGAGACAACCTTTAATGCGCTCCAAAAAGCAAACAGCAAATTCTTGTCGAGTCACTTACTTCGCTTTATCATCTGTTATTATACCTTTCCAGGGGTGGTTGTGAGCACAACTCAAAAATCCTGAATATTTCATGAGTAAAATAATTAATGACGCATTTCACAAAATTAATGGCTTTATAAATTTAAATCAGTTATATTTTCAAAACAAGAAATTCTAAATAAATTGTATGCAGTCTAATTTAAATGAATATTTATGTATAAGTTTACTTTTATCTCTAATCACATTTATTATTCCACCAGAAAAAATATTTACAAATGAAAGAGATGCAAAGCATAATAATATATTTCAGTTCTAATATTTTTAAATAAAATATACAAGAATTTTTATACATAAATGTGATCGATGATTTCCTGAAACTTCTGGACCTTGAATTTCCGGATGGATTTTTTCCGGAGCACAATCATCTTTGCCTTTTCGTTAGTCTAGCTAATTAAATAATATTGCAGCAAATTTGTCTCAAAAAGGACAAACTATATCAAAAGAGAGAAATATCATCAAATTTATGAATTATTTAATGCTAAAAAAAAAATGCCCATAAAAATTGCGAAATAAATATACAATCGCCAAATAGCCTTGTTCCGGATTGTTCGCATCCTTCTCCCAAAAATAGCGAAATAGTATCGTCGGATACCACGTGATGAAGGCGGAGCCAAGTGCCAACACCTGGTGAACGAACTATAGATGAAAATGTCTTATTCTTTCTGCATAATTCAAGGAAAAGGTTATATGATATACTTTCATGTTGAAAGAACGAACTCTGTCAGAAATATTTTTTTTGTATAAATATTAGGTTCCAACTAAAAACAAATACAGGTATTAAAAATTTAACAAGATATGTGTCAATAAACAAAGTCCAATCACAGTATGATTTCAACCAATTTTAAGATAAAAAGTTTTAGGATAAAAACTCTAAAATAATTTGTCAAAATGGAAAAGTGCTGAAACTAAATTTGTCTTACGTAAACAATTTAAATAAAAAATTAGAAACCAATCTAAAAAAAGGTGTATTTTTCAGATATTTATAATATATATTCAAATATTTATAAAATGCGAGGAATTAACAGAAATTATACTGATAGCACAACAGGATGCGTAGTCAAATCTTCCTATAAAAAATAAGAACCTTTTAAGTATTTTTTAAGCACTCAAAAAATATTATTAAGCGCTACATACATTAACAAAATGAAAATTAATTTTCAAAGACTTCACATGATCATGATAAAATAACTAGTTTCTGACAAAGAACTTGCACTTTTTAAAAACACCCAATGAAAAAAACACCTTTAAAGCCTTTTAAAAAACGAATATCGGAAAAAAGCACTTTTTAAAAACTCTACGCACCACGCATAAGCTAAACAGCAAAATTGATATTGAGATATAATAAAAATGGTAGGATATTTTAAAGATATTTATTAAAACGCTGAGTATAGATTAATAAAATCTAATAAAGTTAGCTCGGAAAAATAGTTTCGTTTTGTAAATATTAGCGAGACCAACATACTACTTTTTAACTTAGAAAACATTTCAACTTGTTTTGAATTACTGTCATCAATATTCTTAAATTTTATCAGGCAAAAACATTAATTTACTTAATGCAGCGTATTTCCGACTGTCAGCGATATTTTCTTTTATTTACCAAAACGTAACTCGAATAATTGAAAAAAACACATACAGAAACAAAATTGAGTAGAAAATTAGTGATATGTGATCTATTATGAAATTTTGAAAGGTCAAAAATCTCGATACTTAGTAATCAAAAAAATTAAAATATTCTATTATCATAATTGACACTAATTTGAATGCATAAAAAATTGCTCGATTTCTGAAACAGCCATGGTTTTTCAAAATATTTTAAATTTCATAAATAAATTTTTCATGGTCTTAGACTTTCATAAAAAAAAACTTTCTTACAAAGTGCCTCAATAAATCTTTTAGATCTGTTGCTTATAAAGTTGATATTTTTGTGTACGCATATTTACTTATGCAATGCATTGAAATGAGAGATTTAAATGGGATGTCACGGGAAATTGCTTGTAAATAAGCTTATTTACTTCATATTTTATAAATTGTTATTTTTGATACAGATCATTTATATTTTAATAATTATACATCGTACAATCTATGTATATCAGCATATTTATTAATCATTTATACATCCATTCGTACGGAGGATTTCGTCACGCCTACCTCAGGATTTGCCCACCGCAGGCTAATTTACGTAAATAGTTTTATAGTAACATCTATTGTTTACATTTTGTTGCAAGTTCTATTTTTGTGCAAACAATCATATCAACTTATGCTATCATTCATTTTTGGATTTCTTTTTGCATAATTTCTTATAAGACTTTTTTTTTGTAATTGGCAAAAATTAATTATATTCTGAAAATAATTAACATATAGTAATACCATAAGAAATTTTTTTAAACAAAACACTATTTCAAAGCATTTAAATAAGAAACTTGTGATCAAAAACTATGCACCACAATTTGTGAATAAAAAAGTTTAATAAATTATCAAATTACTTTTAAAATTTTTTTTATTTTACAAACGGATAGTTTAACCCTCTAGACAAGAGACTAAGCTTTTTTGCTGTAGCATTTTTAATCTCTTTTGAAAATTCTGTGTATCATTAAGAAAACGCCATACCGAGGAAGAAAATTTTCATCGAAAATTCTTTCTACTTCCTTTTTTTTCCCCCTTTTAAATTAGTAATGAAGTACAGGCAAACTTAGTGTAAGCCATGAACTTTCAAATACTGAAAAAAATACTTTAAAATATTAAAATGCAAACAAATTATGAGAAGAGAACTTCACCGTTGCATAATCCTAAGTTATCGTCTCATCATTTATTTTCATTTGTACATTTTAAAATTTTCTTTTCAGTATTTGAAACTTTATGGTTTACTCTAGGTTTGTCTCATCTCACTTTTTCTACACTTAAAATTAGTAATAATGAAGGAAAAAGGGAATTTACGAGGAAATTTTCTTTCATGGTAAGGCGTCCTCTTAATCAAATGTAAAGTTCCTTTCATACAAGGTGCAATTAAATTTTTGATTTAAAAAACTTCCAAGTCATTGTATTACTAACACTAATTAAAAATCAATCAATCTTTTTAATTCTCAATTTAGGAATTCTTTAAAAACTACACTTCAATGCATTATAAAAGGTGTACAACAATACTTAAAATGTTCTATTTATAACAGTATTTAATTTTATAAGTTTCTATTTGCTTAAGTTAAAAAAAAAGCATAACATGTTTTGCTGTATGGAAAAGCAACCAGGTCCAAAGTTAATGTGAATATTTTGGATACATGAAATAGTGTATATTTAGTCTATGGTAAGAACTTCCTTGCCACAAAGTCTGCGGCAGTCTTCTGCTATTGAAACCAGGGTAGCTTCTCTTCACTCTAGGGCCAACACAATAGCCCAAAGAAAAAAAGATTTTCTCTCTCTCTCTCCAAAACAGCGACCCCACATCCTTATTTATACCGTGTTACCATGGTCACCACCACAGTTCCAGACAAATGGCTAGGGGAGTTCTTACTTTAGACAAACTATATGTTTAACACTAGATTGCCCAAGGAAGTCATTTTGACTGCTTTTTAATAACAATTAGGAAAACAATGATGTATATAATGACACAATTTCTTATAATGTTGATATTTACTAATAACTCGTCATATAACTGAAAATATCAAACATATTAATTTTAAACAAATTTCTTTATGCATTAGTTATTCTTTCACAATGCAGTCATTTTGACTGCTTTTGGGCAATATAGGTATTTCAGTCTTTCTAGTGTTAATGACAAAACTAGTTTCAAGTGTAATATTTTGATAATTGAAATAGTGTATTTAGAATAAATAAAAAAAATCAACAATCTAATACTGGAGATATATATTTATTTATAACACTTGAAAACCATCCATCCAATCCATATATACACATAAAATTGTATCAAGGTAAAACATAAAAGCTCCTAATTGTGTATTAGATACATTTCGATTCATAAAATATATGTCAAAACTCACAAACGGCCATTAATAAAAAAGAGTGGCTGCTTTTTTGATAGATATATATAAATAAAATCATTTGACAGTAGGTTTGGAATGCAGTAGAAAAGTGGAAAAATATCTTTTTGCAGTTCTTCCTCTGACTGAATCAAAAATTAAACAAAAAGTATTTTTCCGACAGTGATTAATAGAGATTAAATAAAATTTTCATCGACTAACAATAATTGTAATTCTAAAGATAACATATTTTTTTCACAGCTTTAAAAATAAAACACAAAATATTTTTTTTTATCAGATCAAACTGGAGTTTTGTTCAGATGCGACGAAATGTTCCGAGGTGGGCCTTACAGTTAGGGCAGTTATGCTCGATATCTTGGCATTCTGGAATGCAGCATGGGATAAGACAGCAGCCCAACCAACAACTGATACATAAAAAAAGAAAAAAACTTTAATCTTAAGAGAAAATTATCTATTGAACATAAGAAACAACATTTCTAGGTTTTCCAGGAAAATTTCAACAGGGGGCTTAGCCAAACCCTTCAACAAAATATAAGCACCCTTTTAAGAATTTTTTAAGCACTATATACACTAACAAACTGCAAAATAATTCCCAATGACTTTACATGATCATGATAATAAAATAACTAGTTTCTGACAAAGAACTCTTCTCTTGATTATATTAGTCATTATAAAATGATCAAGAGATTTTTCCGTTGGACATCAGAGGGTGGAAAATGAAGCCTGAAATGGAGAATATCTTGCAAAATGCAGCAGAGTTTCACACGAGAAGGCAATAATCTCCTCGAACACAGCTCAATAGACGCACGTGCAGACTCGCAAGTTTTCACCAAACATGTAAAATGATTGGCGCTATCATATGCTGAAATAGATTGTGGTTGAATGAATTGTGTAAACGTTGAATGGAACAATGTAAATACGTGGCGAAAATCGACATGGTAAAGAAAAAAAAATCTTATTTTCGAAAAGGGAAAATTAAGTACTTTTTAAAAACACCATGAAAAAAATACTTTTAAGGTCTTTTAAAAAACGAAAATAAGCACCTTTTAAAAACACTACGCACTATGTTCAGTACAATTCCAAAATCTATTATTACTATCCTTGTGGCAGAATTTTTTCGAGCTTTCTACAACAATTCTCTCTTGTACCAATACAGGGTACCTGCTACATTTTAGATTTTCGAATTCATGACTTTTCAAGACTAATTTCAAAATCTTTCACGACTTAGACAAGTTACTATTTTCTCCGACAAAAACACAATAAATTTAAAAAAAGCATTATAATAACACTAACTGAAATGACAGGTATAACCAAAACTGTTATATTCTGCATCTTCATATTTATTGATTTTAAACTTAAAAAAAGAGAGTAAAGAGTTGAAGCAATAAAGTAGCTGGGGAAAAAAAAATACCAAAGCGAATAATTTGGTTTCGTTTTCTTCCTGCAGAATCATATTATAAAGGTACTTTTCTTGTTTATCGGAAAGGAACAAAATACCCCCGATTTTTCTGTTCTTATTTCGGAATAAAAAAAAATTCGCCTATGACTGGCTTGCTTCAGTCAGAATTTTAAATTGATAAAATAAAAATAAATAACAAAAATTATGAAATCACAGAAGTTTAAATAATCCGCACTAGAAATGTTTTTCTTTCATTTTTTGAAAGAACACCATAATTTTTAAAGAACATGGTAAAACATTTTATATTTCGATAAAATATCACTGTGAGTGGGGATTTTGTTACAAGTTCGGATATTCGGTTACAAGTTCAGATATATAATTGGGGGGGGGGGGGNGGGGGGGGGGGGGGGGGTCAATTCCATTTTAAAAATTACATTTTTCGGCAACCTAAACCCATGACTTTTCATTACTTTTTTAAAAAACAAATAAAATCATGGCATTTCATGACTAATTTGGTTCAATACCAAAATTCAAGACTTTCCATGATTTTCCAGGTGCGCAGATACCCTGTATAGAACTCCCATTGAACATAAATAAAATTTCTAGCTTTTCCAGGAAAATTTCAACACGATTCTAAAATATATTGTCCAGCAATATTTCAGTAAGTGAAGGTCTAATATGCACAAAAGAAAAAGAACATCCCTGAATAACTTTCGAACATGATCAGATCTTCACATTCTAGGACCAGGTGTGATTGTGAGCCGAACTCAAAAATCCTGAAAATTTCTTGAGTAAAATCTTTATTGACGCATTTCAATAAAATTAATGTCTTTATAAATTTAAATCATTGATATTTTCAAAACATGAAATTCTAAATAAATTGTATGCAGCTTAATTTAAATGATTAATTATGTATAAGTTTACTTTTATCTCTATTCACATTTATTATTCCACCAGAAGAAATATTTACAAATGAAAGAGATGTCAAGTATAAATTCTAGTTCTAATATTTTTAAATAAAATATACAAGAATTTGCATACATAAATGTGAGCAATGATTTCTTTAAACTTTGGATTTCGGATAGCGAAAAATCCGGAAATTAGTATTTTTCCGAGCACAATCATCTATGTAGGATTCACTTTAACGGTTGAAAGGAGTGACCTCAAATATGTTGATTAGTGCAGATATTTTGAGTTTCGAAATTAGAAAAAAATATATATACTTTCTCTAAACAAACAAGCCCTTTTATGATGGTTTTGAAACTTTGATTTTAAAATATAGAGGGCAGACACAATCTAAGGTCCCCATAGTTTCGTCAGGAAAGTAATCCAAAGCTGCTAATTTTACTTATTGCATATTATGCCATATCTCAAAAACGTTTATGAAAATTGAAATTTTTTGCACACAATTATTAAAATTGTTTATTTAAAGATAATTCCACACAAAAAATTTTCGATTTGCTTAAGAAGTTCTCAATTTTCGCGAAAAGCAAAATCAGCATTAAGGGGTCCAAAATTTTGGATCACTTTCCTGACCAGACTATTAGGAGTATACTTCCTATAATTGGGATACTCCATAGATTTCGGAGTCAGAAATTAGAATCTAAAACAATGTTTATTCAGAGGAAGTAAGTTTTTACGTCCTATTTAACTTAAATATGCTAATTAATTAGTGCAAATATTTTGAGGTCACCCATTTGAATCATTTGTGAAGATACAATCATTAGGTCAAAAGTTTTTAGGGTGGTTTATTTTTATGCAGCACACCACACATCAGTATAGTTTCCTTAGTATTGCATAGTTTTGCATACTACATATTAACTGAAAACAGTTATTCGAATGAAATTCTTTGAAAATGTATAATTAGTGCTTTTGAGATACATCATATGTTTTGATGAGGTATTAAAGTTGTAAGCCGTAAGAAAAAAGGATGAAACAAATTAAAAAAAAAAAAAAAAAACAAGTGTTCAACTAAATGGTGGGTTCATTAATTTGGTGAAATGCACCATTTTATTTCATAAATAAAATATAATTTTTCGTACAGAAACTTTTTTTTTGCGTCTAAATAAATGTAACGTAAGCATATTTCAACAGGGTGCGTAGCCAAATCTTTCAACAAAAAATAAGTACCTTTAAAGTACTTTTTAAGCACTCAAAAAATATTTTTGAGCACTATATACATTAACAAATGCAAACAAATTTTCAAAAACTTTATATGATTATGAATCATAATTTATGATAAAATAAGTAGTTTTTGACAAATAACTCATTTCTTGATTATATTAGCCATTATAAAATGATCGAAAGGTTTTGTGGTTCTATATCAGAGGGCGGATATTAAGGCCTGAAATTGAGACTATCTTGCAAAATGCAGCAGAGTTGCACATGAGAGTGCAATAATCTCACCGAACCCAGCTCAGTAGACGCACACCTGAATATTTTATCAAACATGTAAAATGATTGGCGCTTTCATACGCTACGGTTCGACTGGACGCAAAATAGATTGTGCTAGAATAAGTTGTGAAAACGTTGAATAAAACAATGAGAAAAACTCGCTTTTGCATTATACATGGAGAAAATTGAAATGGTAAAGAAAAAAAAATCTCATTTCGAAAAAGGAAAATTAAACACTTTTTAAAAACACCCAATTGTACCTTTAAGGGCTTTTAAAAAAACGAAAATTAGCACCTTTAAGCACTTTTTAAAAACACTAGGCACCATGTTCAAGGAAAACAAAACCACATTTTATAAAATTTCTATGCTTGGCCTAAAATGGGTTAAATCAAAACACAAATTTTGTAATATTTGTATTTTTAATCCATTGTTGCTATGGAGATTCATTTGGGGATCCAGAAAATATTCGCTAAGACGGGATTTGACTGTTTATATTAAAAAACAATGTGGATGTACTTACCCAACAAAAACTAAAGCTCCGGACAACAGCCAAGTAAGAAGACCTGGACTAGCTGTTGTTTCAGTCATAACACGTGCTTGACATTGAGGACACACAATTTGCATAGGAAATGGACCCCACTGTCCTATCTTCATCACAGTCACAACATGAGCTGTCACAACACAAAGATTTTGTCAGAACTTTTAAATCTTACAGTCTAGTTATAGATAAACTCTGGTTTCAGGAAAGAAATATTTATAATGCTAAAATTTCAGTTAAGTTCAACATTCTTTCTTATGAAAATGTTTAAAGCAATTTCAGGGTGCAGAGCCTGATTTTTCAACAAAAAATAAGCACCTTTTAAGTACTCAAAAAATATTTTTAATCGATCCCCCCTCCCCAAAAAAAGTTAATCTGAAAGTTTTTAATTTATGAACATAAAATCAATAAAATTCAAACATATTTTCACAAACTTCACACAATAAAGATAAAATAATATAATAATGAAGTTTCTGATAAATATTGCAGAGAAAGTTGTGAAAAATCATGCATCTTTTGTAATTCAGAAAGACAATCGACACGGCAACCTCTTTTTAAAAGATAGAAAATGAAGCACTTTTGACAAACCACGAATAAAAAAAGCACTTTTGACAAACCACGAATAAAAAAAGCAATTTTGACAAACCACAAATAAAATTTTGTTTTTTTGACAAACCACGAATAAATAAAAAAAATTTGACAAACCATGAATAAAAAAAGAAATTTTGACAAACCACGAATAAAAAAACCAATTTTGACAAACCACGAATAAAAAAGCACTTTCGAAAAACAATGAATAAAAAAAGCACCTTTAAAAAATTTAAATAAAAATGTAAATAAAAAAATAAGCACTTCTTAAAAACGCTACGCACCCAGAATCAAACAAAGTTCTGGTAGAAAATCTGATATTTCAAAATCCAAAGTACTAACAGGCCTGAATATTTTGAAATGCAAATTTTCTTTTCTTTTTTTTTTACAAATAAAGCAATGTTGCATATGACTAATACACCACTGCATTGGTTCTATGAATATCATGTTGATATTGATCAACATCCTACAACATTAGCAAATGTTAAGAAATATTGATTGGTATTCTTCAATGCTTTCTGAAGTAATGACCTACATCAATTGTGGACAATATAAATAAAAGTTCGACGTTTTTACATAAATCAACGTTTCAGAACAATGCAGTTCAATGTCGTAATTAGTGATTTTTTGAAATCCATCGATATTCTGTGCAACTTGGGAAATTATTACTTTATATTTAACCATATTTGTTAGGGTTCCTACTCAAATAGAAGAATAAAATTCCTTCACATTTCCGCAATTTTCAGGTACATTAAAAAAGAAAACTCTAGTCTAATAGAGCAGTATTTACTAGCAGCACGTTGGACTAAACATGTAACTAACAAAAAAAAAATTAATATGTACGTTGATAAATTTTTAATCAATAACAGGAATATACAATCTGAAGTCCATCCTTTGTTCGATCTAATCTATTCCAAATGGAAAAAACAAAGTACAGAGAATGTTGCGCAAACATAGGATGTTTGGAAATCACTAAATCAAGCTCATTAACTTTTTTCGATTTTGGCTCTAAAATGTAAACTTTTCCAATTTTCCGGACAACGTCAAAGTTCCCTGACTTTTAAGGGTAGCACAGCAACCTTGTTTCGTGGTTTTCCCAAATTTATCAATCACAATGAATGGTCCCTTGAGAAATGATTGATTAAGGTAATTATACTAATATCTATCAAATATTGTATTAATTAAATATTCTATAGTTATATTAATAGATACAAAGCGCAGTCTGACCCCGATTCAACGAATTAATCGGGACCGAAAATATTATTCCCTAAATCTGGGATAATTCGTAATATCGGGGGTAAAATATAAAAAAAAATTGAATAGCCTTATGAAATATTCGAACCTCTCTAATAAGCATTGCACAAAATAAATAGAAATCTTACACTTTTTATTCAGGAATTTAAAATGCAGCGAATGATTATGTGTTGATTAGCTTGAAATTTTAAAGCATTCCGTGAGTAAGGTTTGCTTATTTCCTTGATTTCATACTTTAAAAAGTTCTTTTTTGATGTCACGGAGAGAGGAAAATATCCTTCATTTACATGGTGCTGCATTAGGTAAAGTTTCACTTTTTCCAAAGCATCAGAAAAAGTAACAGTTTTCACTAGAGATTCATTATCATCAACTTCTCAGTAGTTATCCATTGTTTCATATAAACCTACTTCATTACCTTCAAAAAATTCGTTAAATCGCGAAATTCGGTATATAGGGGTTCGTTAAACTGGGGGTCTAGTCAAAAATAAAGAAATTAACTTACGAGGGCCACCCGGTGCTGCTCCTGGTTGACCAAGGATAGGTGCTTGATAGCCTGAAAAATTTACACAACTCTCTTAGAAAACATACAAAAAGTAAATTCTAAGCTTTTAACACAAGCTAAGCAAAACAGTACTTCAAATTTACAAAGCAAAAAAATAAGCACCTTTAAGCACTTTTTAAAAAACGTTACGCACCATGTCTGTATATAAATCTTAATCTAAAGAAGATTTTTTTAAAACCATTAATTATGATTATTTAAACTATTAATTGGAAATAGCACTATCTGTAAAGGAATAAGAGAAGTGTTTTTGCCATCAGCAGATATTTTCAGTCAAAATTATTTTTTTAAAAAATTTCTTCAACAAATACAGAGAAATTTGAGAATATACTGGAGAATAGGACATAGTCGCAAATCACAAGAGTCTTCGTTAAAAGACAGGAGACTGGGCGGGTATGTTATTTTCTAGAATAAATCAATTGAAATCACAACCCCAGATCTTGATTTTTAGAATGAATAATTTTTTTAAAATAAATAATATAATTTTCTTTAAGCAGCAAAGAATCTCAGGTAAGTCAATTTTGTTAACATTACAAAATTTCACTACCTTAAACAGCCAAATCTTTCAACAACAAAAAAAATAAGAAGAACCTTTTAAGTACTTTTTAAGCACTATACACATTAACAAAATGCAAAATAATTTTCAAAGAATTTACATGATCAACTAACTTCTGACAAAGAACTCTTTTCTTGATTACATTAGCCACCATGAAAAGATAAAAGATTTTTTCGGTTCGAATTCAGAGGGTGGAAAATGAAGCCTGAAATTGAGAATCTCTTGCAAAATGCAGCAGAGTTGCACATAAGAGTGCAAGAATAATTCCCGCTGGATCCAGCTCAGAATAAGCACATGCGGACACGCAAGTATTTTATCAAACATGTAAAAGGATTGGTGCTTTCATACGCTATGGAACGACGGTACGCCGAAATGCATTGTCGTAGAATGAATTGTGAAAACGTTGAATAGAACAATGTGAATATGCGAACACAACAACAACATACAAATATGCGAAACAGTAAAGAAATCTTTGCAAGTAGAAAGTCTTATTTATCATAGGATAAATCTCCTGATATATTTTAAATAAAACAGAAACATTTATATCATAAAACATCTGATAGTTAATAAAAGTTAAATGGCAAACCTTTATTAAACAAGACATACTAAGCATAGCTGGAATTGGTTAAAACATACTAATAAACACATTAACAATAAATTCAAATACATTAAAGGGAATTTCCTCATATAACTACACAGTCTATTCTATTCTAATTACACGCTTTGTATTTGCATACTATACCTAAAAAGCAGGGATAAAGCAGTCAAAATTAGCTTGAATGCAATAATAAAATATTATAGTTTCAGAGCTTGGTATGGAAAGCCACATTTCTACCAAAAGTGACATTTTTAAAGCAAACTTTTTCTGTGCATTTGCTTCCATATAGGTACTTAACAAGCTTTCAATAATCATAACAATCAGATAACAGTAAGACACAGGTGTTTTAATCCATTTATACCAATGTAACTTAGTTAACCAATGTAAAGATTTCCAATTTTGATGAGAATTCTTCTAGACAAGTGAATATGTCTTTTCCATTGAAAAAGCTTTTAAAGGAAAAATAAAAATTATAGTATTCAAATTTTTTTCAAATGAATACTTTCTTCATAAGCCTATTAGATAACAAAAATGTTGTCAGATAAATTAAATAATTTTTGGAAACTATGAATCAATTTTGCAAAAAATCCGTGTAATAATTAGGGCATGATAGAACATTCATCAGGAAATGGGAAAATCCTAAGACCTATTGGATCAAAAACAAGACAGTTGCCACTCATTAAAAATATGGCTTATTATCTCCAAAGCACTTAGATATTTTTTGCGGTTCAATCAGCTTCAATGTAAGATTTTGGTCTACAATGTAAAAAGTAGCAAGTTTATTTATTTTTATAACTGTCATCGAACAGCTGACCCAGTTTTGGGTTTACGACTACTAATGTTCAACTACGTAGTCTTGTAATTTTGAACCCAATCCAAAAGACAAGGGAACTCCTAGATGAAGTATTGGAGAAATTTGTTTTAATGGAGGACTTTTCGATGGAACTAACCCGCGTTTGCATTACATGGAGAGAAAACCTTGAGAACTAACTGGATGAGGAATTCGTATCAACCAGCCATCGCTGAGATTCGTACCCAGTTGGAAAGCGAACATTCTATTCCCTGAGCCATCACAGCTCTTGAGGGGCAATATATATATATATATAGATATAAACTTCTCTTGTCCTCTTTGTAATATAATTCAGCAAAACTAGGTGAAAAGATCACATATGCTGTCAATGCATAGGCACATAAAAATTTGGAAAAATTTAGAATTATTCATTGAAATTGACAATTTACATCTAGCAGGACAAAACTTGCTAAATTGTAGATTTTTTTAAAAGGTTTATTAACTTTTAAAAACATTTTTAACATTTTTTTTAATGCAACAGAAAATTTTCAAATATATGTATACGTCAAGTCAACTTTCTATCAAATAATTTTGATACATTCAACAAATATTACACTAAACAGTTAAAAAAAAAAAAAAAAAAATAGCACAAAGACTTTCAAGGAACAGCACTCAGCAGATTAGTGCTCTAGATTCAGAATAGTGCTGTACAGTACAAAATAAGTTGATTTACTAGTCTATGAGAAATTCATTTTATAATTTATTATGAACTAGGAATGATAAAGCATTGAATATTTTGTAATTCAACAAGCACAGGCCATTGATATCTAAGCAGCACATGCACTAAACCCAGTGGCAGAATTTTTTTGGGATTTCAGTGACAAACTTCCCTAGCACTAGTATTTTTCTGTAAAATTCTTTTCATAATAACAATTACTAATTTAAAGTGACAGAAACGTTGTGCTTACAGAAGAAAGTATAGAATGAAATTGTTTAATCGTAAAAGTAATATTTTTTAAAATTCTAATATTATATATTAGCTTTCTCGCATTCTGTAGAGTGGAAAAAAGTGCTAATTATTTCCTCCTTCAAATTTTGTAAATCATTACAAAAATTAAAATTCGTAAATAAAATTAAACGGCAATAAATGTAAACTCGCGGATAATTTAAAAATTGTAAAATCCATGCGGTAACTCCAAAATGAAGATCGATGACGAAAATCACGCGAATGGGACTCTCTAAAAAAAAAAAAATGAAAGAAAGAACATCATTTCTTAATTTCAACTATCTTTTAAACTTTCGAGATTTTTGAATTTCTCATTTTATACTTTAAGTTTCAAATTCTAGCTGAAGCCAGTCATTAGACTTTTTGAAAATCCAAAATTTTTCGAAAAATTATGCAGAAAGGAAAAGCAAAATTTTTCGCTTCCCAAATGAAAAATCTTTCTGCAAAAACTATGTAACGCTCTACGACAATGTCGCCTTGTAGTCGCAATTCTGCCACAGGGCACTAAATTTTATCATGCAAGGCCATCTAGCTTAGACACACAAATAATATTCAAACCTGCAAGTGGAGGGGCAGTTGGATATCTGTTAGCATATTGAAACCCTAAAAATCAAATAAATTAACATTTTTTTTTTTAAATTACAGAAGAGTTTCCTCAATTTAAATATGTAAGCAGCATAAAAATTTTCACATCAATACTAATGCTAAAATAAAATTGATTTTTTAAATTAATAGATATTTTACAGAAACTATTGCATGATAAGAATATTCCTCACAAAGAACCCTTAAGGGACGTAAAACTTTTCATTGCAAATTTTCTTTCGCCTCCGTTACGAGTTTAAAAATTTTAAAGAAAGAAAAAGTGAGTATGAGCAAACCTAGATTAAGCAATGAAGTTTCAGTTGCTGAAAAAAAATCTTCAAAATATCAAAATGCAAACAAATTATTGGAAGAGAACTTCTCCATTCCGAAATCCTAAGTTATCTTTTCATAATTTATTTTCATTTTGATACTTTAGAAATTTCTTTTCAGCATTTGAAATTTCATGGCTTACTCTAGGTTTGTTTGAACTCACCTTTTCTATGCTTTAAATTAGTTACGGAGGTAGATGAGAATTTGCGACGTAAATTTGACACCCTCTTAAGTGACCAATAGAAGGAAATAAAAAAAACTTCAAATATTAACAAATTTTTAATTAATTGTAATATTTTCCACCTAAGATTCAAGATTTTATTTTCCACCTAAGATTTAAGATTTGCTTCTTTTTTTTACCAATTATTAGAAAAACAAGACATATTTGAAACTACAAAAGTACATTTCAAAGTAAAAATTAGATTCTTGCCTGGAAATTTTACAAGAATCTAAAAAAATTGTTATAGGCAATTTTACATGCTATTATTTCACATGTTAGTAAAGAAAAAATTTCACAATCTGCTAGATGTATTCAAGCAATGAAATTTTGATATTTTATTTCAGGATGAAAATTGATAAAATAATTCTGACTCAGCTTATGCAATATTAAAATTTAAAATCAAATGATTGATAGAATGTTGGATTTAAAACAAATATAAACATTGTAAAATTGTATTATATTACCTTTTTCATCTATATATCAAGAAAGAAAATAAAGAGGAAAAATTAAATTAATGGATTAAAAAATTGGCATAAATATAAAAACAAAGATATACACTCTAAATTTAAAATTTTTTAATTAGTCTTAAGTTCAAAATAAGAGAAAAAAATTTATAAAAAAACTGATATTGCTCTATTTCCTAAAAAATACAAAAATTAATGAATTAGCTAATGAATAAAATGTTGAACTCAACAGCGAGAATTTGAAAAAACTATTCCCTGGAAAACCTTTTACTATTATATCTTTAGAAAATTCACAACTCTTAATAGTGTATTAATACATATTTGTAAAAGTTTCAAAACACTGGTTTACATTTATATAAACAAAGTAATAAATATAATTAAAAATATGTTAATTTTGCTATAGTTTTATACATATTCAGTTTATATAGATATAGGATAAACTAACCAGTGAAGGAACACTTAAGCTTAGCTTGTCTTTAAAAAAAAATCACAAAAATTTCAAAATTTGTCAACATATCTGATATTAAATGCAAATTATGTAAATATTTTTTGGAAACTTACATAATATTGTTTTAAGATTTTGGTAGTTCAAATAATAAGTAGAAAAATAACCAAGTGAAGGAACAGTTCTAACCAGTGAATAAACACAAAATTTTCCAGTTAATTTTGAGAATTTTTGATGCTTTTTAGGAATTTATAGGCCATACAAATGTCTAAAAACAAGATTTTTCTTGGAATTAACTACAGTTAAAGTGGAAAATTTTACTTTTTTACCAGTCATGAAATGAAAAGTAAACGGGGGTTGTATACAGAATTTAAAAAAAAAAAATGTTTTTCAATTTCTTTCTCACAGTTTGATAGTAGATTCCAAAACATGAATGTTTATCATTGTGTAATCCGATAATCTTATTTGATTCTAATTCTTAAAAAATATCTATGAAATGTTCATTCACTGGGATGTGTTTCTTCACTGGTTGGTTTGCCCTACATAATTAAAAAATAGAATATTTTAAACTAGTGTCGCTGTTGATATCAGCTTTCATCCGAGTTCATTACGCCCTATTCTGCATTACTTATTTGTATTTCAGCACAAAATCATCTCTTCTTTGATTTAATTTTGCAATTATGAATAAAAACAGCATTGACACCCACTGTCTACTTATTTTAAATCTGATTAAAAATAACATTTAACTTTATAAATATTTAAACAAATAAAAATCGATCAAGAATAATTACTATATCACATAACTAAAGGCAAGAAGGTATTTAAATGAGTTATTGAAAAATATTTACCATCGCCGCCCGGATAAGGGGCTTGCGTGTAGGCAGGGGGTGGATCATTAGGCATGTAAGGAGGTGGTACTTGAGGTGGTGCTGACATGCCCCCTTTTTCTGCCATACTTAGTAGAATGTATACTAAAAGAAGTGGATATTAAATGCAATATTCAATCACAGAAGAATAGAAAATTTTAATAAAACTATTTTAAGAGAATAAAACACTTCTATTCATAGCTTGAAGTTAAAAGCTGTGTTTGTTTCGAATAATAGTTAGCTTTTATAAAGTGAGCTGTAAAAGATCTCTAAACTTAAAAACCTGAAATAAATAAAAAATGATTAAAGAAAGAAACAAACAGCATGTTTAATTAACGTTTAAAAGTTCCTATCACAAAGGAGGAACAAAAAAAACTCTATAAAAATAAGCTTTTTCCAATTGAAGAAGAAAAAACTATATAAAAAAAATCTATAGTTAAAATAATTCTGTTTTTATAGATTATAATTGCTATAGTCTAGCTATACTATTACTCATTATTACATATGTCTAGCAATATATATATATATATATATATAATTACAAAAGTCATGTCAAAAAAACCTTTTTGACATAGTTTTTGAAAAGTGTCAAAAACTGAAAACTTTTGTATAAAGATAATTATTAGCTATTACAAACAGGAAGTATTTATAAAAAACATACATAATACAAGTGATCAACCAATTATGACACTGAATTTTTTAACACATAATTTTTTGTTCTGACAATTTCTGAAAAAGCAAATTTTAGTGTAGATTAGTGTAAAGTTACAATTTATCCAACGTGTTAATTTCTTTTACTCAAGAAAAAAAATACAAAAACATTTATCTTATAAAAAATCATGTAACAATTATTTATTATATGTAAAATCAATATTCATTTATTTCCATTTTCACTCCTTTCCCAGAAGCATGCAATTACAAGGTAGTTTTGAGGTCCTCTGTACTAACTTTCGAGTCTTGCATGAATATTACCAAAATTTGAAACAAATTTTTCAATTGACGATGAGCTACATAAAATTAGGAGGTAGGCCTATGATAGCTATTATAACATAATGAAAGGAGATTCAATTAGGAAATTTATTCTAATAACTGTACAAAAAACTGATAGTAACTTAATTAAACCCTTGAATTGATCGATTGAAAAAATTATTAACTCATTTAAACAAACATTTATATTTTTTGTAAATTATAATTAGTTTACTAGTCAGAGATAACATATCACGATTTATTGGAAATATTCATGTTAATTTGATTTTCAATTAAATTTTAAAAATCTCAAATTAAACTTTCTTTATAATGAAATTTAACAAAAATTTAAATTTTTTAAATTAATGGCCCCTCTAATAAACTTGTATTCTAACTAATAAATACACAAATTGAGATACGTTTTTTACCAAGGAAAAAATTTGCAGAGAGATATTTTTTAACAATAAACCATTTTGTAGGAATTTTTTTAGAATAAAAATTTTCCCATGGCTGCCTGCATTTTCCCCAAAACCTTGTTTGCACCATCAAATATATTCTGCTCCTCTGTATATAAGTAATAGCAAATATAGAGAATCAAAAATAAATTTTACAACACGAGATCAGACAATTATTGACCTTTGTGGTTTCAAATAAATAAAATGAATAGGTAGAATAATAAATTGATAATAATTAACAACTCACAGTTAATATCTATAATATAAATAGTTATAATATAGCAAATAATATTGATCTTAAAGTATTAAGGAAATAATTTGTGCGTCCCCTCCCAACAAAATGCGAGAATATCCCCCATGATATTAGAATAAAAAATTATTACTTGTTCAATTAAAAAAATTATATAGTTTAAAAAAACAAAATTCACATTATATTTGTTATTTTAAATTAGTAACATACAAGTCTGTTATTAAAAGCATCTGGCAGAAAGACAGTAGTGCTAGAGATTTATGTAGCAGATACTTAAAAAAAAATTCTGTCATAGTGGTTTCAATAACAGTTATATTTTTTATACATGATATACACAATATAAATCATAATATAGTAGCATATAATATAAGTATTGTGCATGATCTAATAAAATGTCCCCTATGACAAAAAAGAAACTTGCCCTAGGTTTTTTTGACAGATTCTGATAGTAGTTTCAGACAGGTTTTTAACACTTTTAGACAGGTTTTTGATGTGTCATGTCAAAAACCAGTTTTTGAAATCAAAAACTCAATTCTGAAATACATGATGTACATTATAGTGAGTAAATATAGCAATATATGCAAACGTATTGTGGAGCCTTTCTACTTAAAAATTTTAAACTTTCAAAATTTCATAAAGTGAAATAATAATTCTGCCAAATTATTTGTACAATACCAAAACTTAGCTGGTAGTGATAATGCTATAGTCACATCACAACTTAATAACTAATATTTTTAAACAGAGTTAGCAAGCCTTTTAAGCATGGTGGTCAAAACCAAGAATCTTTTACGGATATAGTATTTACATTTTATTTTAATTTTCAATTAATTAATGATTAAGTAAAAAGTATCTTCATTAAATTTTTAAAAGAGTTATAAAGGATATTAGGCAAAAAATTACTTAAGACAACAGATAAAAAAAATTTTTTTTTTCCTATATGATTATATGTTTATTTCATTATTTTAACTATCAAAACACTTCATGCATTACATGCTGAAAATTCCGAGGACTTCCTTTTTTTATTTTTATTGCTCTAGAATTCTTTTGTAAAATCTTCCAGTAAGAAATTATATATACATAAAAAATCAAATCAAATTAAAAACTTTCAATCTTCAAAGCAAAAATGATAATTGACAGTATAGTAAAATACTTATATAAACATACTACCTGGCAAAAATGTTATAATAATAAAACATATCTTGCTAAAAAACTTGTTTGCATCATAGCATAAGGACATGAAGTAAGTCTTTTTTGGTTTTTACTAGCAAACCTATCATGTTTAATAGCTTTTTTTGAAGTCAAAAAACCACTTTTTGACAACAAAAACCTATCCCTACTTACAATATATACTATAATACTAATAAACAATTTGATAAATTTTTGTAAGATTCTTGTCTGACTTGCCTGGTATTCAATGTTATTTTTTTTTAATTTATGCTGCATTTTAAGAGATTGTTAATTAAAAAGCACAATAAACTAATATTAATAGGCAACATTATTGATAGACAATTCATACTGATTTGTATAATTGTAAGCTTTCTTTTTCTCTATAATTTAAGAGACCTCCATAATGCAGACGTACTGAATGAAATATAAAATTAAACGACTCAGATAAACACATCAAAGCATTAGTTTTTTTTGTTTAAACAGATGGTCACTAAGAAAATGCTCGTTCAAATAAATAACTTAAGATTTGTAAATTCCACAGGAGAATCTTATAAAATGAAAAATATTGAAGTTAAAATATTAAAGAAAAGATTATATAAATGGAGTGAATCTCAATACAATATGTATGGGAGAATTGTTTTTATATAAACGCACATATTGTTTATAATGACGGAACTCGAACATGGATGACTCATAAAATAAACAAACATGAGAAGCAAGATTTAAACAACCACAATTTATAATTCGACGAGGGAAAATATTATATCCAAACAAAAGGAAAGCTATTATCAACATTTAAAATATTTCAAACCTGATAAGTATTACATAACCCTCTGAAAAAAGTTCAATATTAAAGTAAACAATAAGTTTTTGTTTACAAAACAATAAGTAAACACGGAATATGAGGGGGATATAATCAATACGAAATATTATGAAACACTTTTAGAAATTCTTATTAAACTACTTACCTTTTAAACAATAGCAAACTGACTTGAAAAGGGCTTGTAATTTTAAGCAAATACTCACCTAGCAATCGAATAAATAAATGTAATGAATAAAGTATGACACTCCTATGACTTTCACTTCACTTGTCATGACGAAAAAGATTGACAGTTACGCATATGTAGGCAACTTCCGGTTTAGTTCGAATAAGTTTTATTTTTACTATAACAATTTTCTGTTGCAGCATGCTCAACTGACCAGTCAGAGAGAAAGTTGATACTTTCTCCACCTGGTTTAAGGCAGCATTCTTATTTTACATAGTTGTCGCAACTCTGAAGATGAAAGATTTTCACCCCACCCAAAACTGACCAATCAGGTTCCCTTATTGTCTCGACGGTGATCAGAAGCGCATCAAACGCATTTGGCGAGAATGCTCCGCAGCACCAATATGATGCATTTTAAAATTACGTTGAAATAAAATGAGTTGGGCAGGGATAGTCTGGTCGGTAAGGCGCTGGGCCCATGACCGAGAGTTCGTGGGTTTGAACCCCGCCGACCGAAGACTCTCCGTGTAGTAGACTGGCTGATGCACGTTAAATCTGTCGAGTCGCAAAAGGCCCAAATGTTCCCATAACAAATCAACACCTCTGCGGGTACTGGATTGGAGATCAATCGTTCTCTGATTCAGGTGAAAAATTATGATCTGTGGATGAATGAATGGACGCATGAATGGGTCCGCACTATAAACGGGTGCGACGTATGGAGTGGAAGAAGTCGAATTCTTGGATCGAATTCTTGCTCGAATTTTATTCCAACAATAAAATGAGTTTAGTTAGGAGTTTAGATATACAAAGAATTCAAGTGATATTAATATCCTGTTACTACTATCAAGGAAAGAAAGTTAAAAAGTTCAGAAAACCGGTTTAAGAAAACCGTAAATGTACCTTAAAAAAGCTTAAACCTGTTGGTGGAAACAGATTATTAGGAAGCATTCTTATTACTTGCAGTTGCTGAACTTTAGATCACCATCGACTGATAAAGAGAATCTGATTGATGAGTTTTTCTCTAGGTAAAATGTAGTTCACTCAGAAAGTTTACAAATTCGCTTGACGGCTATCGGAGATGCGTAAGCCACAGGCAGTGATAAAAGAGCTTGGAACCTAGAATTTGTTGCAATGTCTAAAACCATTTTCATTGCATTCGATTTACATACCTGCAATCGCCGTCAAAGGAAGAAAGGCTAGAATTCAGTCTTGTGATGATTAGCTCTTTTTGCCGCACGGTTTTTTTTCCATCTATACTTGCAAGTTGCTTTTCATTGCGAATTATCTTTCAACATCATAACTAATTTAAAAATAAAAGTAGATGAAAGTGAATTCAGGCAAGCCTAGAGAATGCTATAGAGTTTCAAATACTGGAAAGTAATTTTCAAAATATCAAAATAAAAACAAATTATGAGAGGATAATTTAGTATTACGTAATCAGAAAGGATAGGCTATCCTGGCCGAGCAGCATCACCGGCCAAATGCTCTGTATTTGAGGAAATCTTCATGCTGTTTGTGTGTCCTTTTTTGATTTGAACTCTTTTTCTCTCTGTCTCTACTTCCCAAAGGTTTACAAACCGTACTTATGTAATTGAGCACACGAGCTTGCATGTATGCATCATACCAATAAATAAATACCAATAATTTGCTTGAATTTTGATATTTAGAATTTTTTTTTTCAGCAATTGAAACATCATGGCCTACTCTAGATTTGCATGAGTTTGCTTTCTCTATACCTTAAATTTCGAATTAGTTATAGAGGAGAAACAGAATTTGTTATGAAAAGTTACTCTTGCGGTATAGAGTCCTCTTAACATCAGAAATGGTGAAAATTTGACAAGCTTTTTATCAGGCTTATGACGTTAGAAGACTGCTTTCAGGTGCTCTTTTTTCAGTCCTAGCGTGCAAGGTCAGTCAACGCTTAATTCTGTTTCTGCACAAAATGAGCCCCCACGTGAAGTCTATAATTGATTACTAATGCCTGGTGATTTGGCAGTTGTTTTTCATATTTTTATTCGATTTAGATTTGTGCTATTTTTAACTGAAGCCAAAGAAAACCCTGTTAAGCTCTTTAGTACCACTTATGCACCATTAATGCAGATTAAAACAATTTTTTTTAATCAAGTTTAGCATTATTTATTCTGCTCTTAATTAAAAATTTATAGCTACGATGCATAGTAAATTTTTATTCGAAACGATTGTTAAAATGTTTTTTAATAATGCACTTTTCTGACAAATAAAAGCTTTAACTTACCCTAGTTGGTTTTTTGGTTAGTATATTTTAAGACTGGTGTTTGCGGCACATTGCTTTAACACTATGTTCGCCACTGATGCATTCCCTAAAGAAATTCGCACCACCAGTGAGATCGACTTGTTGTGTGAGGTGTTATAGATTAATGAAGGTGCTCTGTACCCTCACTAATAAAGTCGATTGCTGTTAGCTTGTCGATCTTGTCAGAGGGTTAAAACACAAATATTTTAAAGTCGTTTTATTCGGTGATATTAAATTCCATTATTTCGAAATTAAATCGTTTGCTTTTTCTTTAATGGAGTTAATGGAGTTCCTTTTTTAAATAATCAAGAGAGAATCCAATCGAAAGAACTTCAAATAAGAATTTTTTTTATTTTACGTCAGTGTTAGTGATGTGTTGATATAAGTCCCACGAAATAGGAATTTTGAAAATAAATACAAAACGTAACTTTGACAATTTTTCTCGCTCACTTAAGCCAACGTCAATTTAAAAGATCCCTAAAAAACACAGCGAAGAAAACAAAATTCGCGATCGAAATGAACTATAGGTGGCGTCTGGCCGAATTCTTTACTTATGGCAACACCCTGCATGCTTTCACCATTAGCGTGTGGACAGTCATAGAGGTGAGATCTACGTCTGAATACATTCTATTTTTAAAATTAATTAAAAATTTAAGATTTTCGAGTCAACTATTTTTGGAAAGCTTAGAAATGTTTCTGAAATGTAGAATAGTGGAAATTATTTGATATGTGGGAGGAAATCCTAATGCACGATCAATTATTGAAACAGAGCGACTTGTGGATGCTGACCATTTTACACAGCCAGGTGTAAAAGAAAGAAACGGTACGCAGATAAAGCTTTTCGCACTTTGTATGCAAACTTCAGCTCTACGTAAAGATCCCCATCCAATTGAAGGAGAATTCAGCATTGCAGGCGATAATCTAATCGTTAAAAAACTTTCCTGTTCTTGTGTTGTTTTTTTAAAAGTTTTGTATGTATATAATGCGCATTGCTGTGAAATTTTATTATTGTAGTGAGCTACCTAAAGCTTATATTTGGGATATATCCTATCGTTTTGCTAAGCGTGTGAGCTTATATATGTTTGATTTATCGTTGTACCGAAAGAATGTAAATGCATAAATCTACACTGGTTATCATAAATTAAGGAAAATTCACAAAAATCGCGATAACTCAAGAAATTACACATGGAATTTTATGAAACTTACCCACAATATACAACACATAGTAAGGTATTAAACAACATAAAAAGAAATTATCAGACATTAATAGTAGTATAGAAATTAGCACATGTATAAAATAAACAAATTGGAAGTATCGGTTTGCAATAGAAAAAGTACCTTTAATATGGAATATGATTGCCTCTAGAAGCAATACAGCACAAACAGCGATGTGTGATGCTTTCAATTATGCGGTCTATCAGTTCAATAGGAAGTGAGAGCCATTGCTCTTGTAAAGCAGTTGCAAGCGTGGCAAGGGTCTGAGGGGGCGGATTGATGGCAGATACACGCCTCCCTAGAGCATCCCAAACGTGCTCGATAGGATTCAA